ATATATATATATATATATATTTCCATGCAGATCCAAGACACAAAATAAGAAGGAGGGAAGAAGGAGATAGGAAAGGAAAAAGCCAGACTCTTTGAATACTCCACGGGTCTAAAATTCATTTAATGCATGAAAACTGACCGTGCTTCATAGTTATATCCTGCAGAATGCATTCGATACTCCATTTAAATGAACTATACTGAACATTTCATGACCGGGTATGATCTCTAGATTGCTACTCCATGTGATGACTTCCTCTTTCATTGTTATTGGAAAAAAAAAATATCAATCTATGTAGCTGTTAAAAGTTTGCATTTCAAAATCAAGTCACCTGATTGGTTTACACCACCACTGAAAGGCTGCACGGGGAAACTTTTAGGCCAGGGACCCAGGGAACTGGGCTTGTTCCAGGCTCCCTGTTCTGCACCACTCCCTGACCTTGCCGGTCCCCCTGTTTGGTTTCAGCACCTATGTCCTGCCTTGTCACGGCTGGGTATTGATTTGCCTCTGCTCTACCCACCTGGACATCTGCCCCACGCCTGGGTCGGCCACCATGATCATGACCAACGGGGTCCTTGGTTTCTGCTGTCAGTACTGGCTCTGAGGAGAGTGTCGGTGCACAGGTACGCTCAGGGATGTGGGAGGATCACGTCTGATGGGAGCGAACATATTTAACTATCGGGGATATCTGCAGCAAATTGGCCAGACCCTCAGGGTGGCCGTACCCTCTCCATCTGGACAGAGGGCTTTGTGTGTGTGCCCACAGTTGGAACCCATGAGTGGTACTTTAGGACTATTTCAGAAAACCAATCAGAGGCTCAATCAGAGGGTGAAACAATACACAACCCCAAATTGGCTGAACAGTCCTTGTTAGGCATTTATATTTTTAGGAATGTGCTTTTGGTTTATTACATTCTCTCTTTATCTCCTAAAAAAAAGGGGGGGGGTTATTTCTAACTGCACGTTGCAGGATAAAAGAGGAAGTTAACTCTTTAAAGAGTCCAACAGAGCACAGATCCTCTCCGGATCTTTTCCATTTCTGCCGTGAGGTGGAGCCTCGCAAATTTGATGTCACTACAGCTAACTCCAAAACAAACAAACAAAAAAAAGGTTCTAAAAATGGGTCTCAGCCACCACTTTGGTTGTCAAATACATGCTCTGGGCAGAACATCAATCAATTATGAAAAGGGGGAAAAAAAGAGAGAGAGAGGGGAAAGATTTTTGTGACCCTGAACTTCAGTAGAACTGGACGGATTTCTCAAGAATCCAGGGGAAGTCCTCCCCCCGCCCCCCCATGGTTAACACTTGACTCAACTTTCTAGAAACATGTGTCCTGAAAGAGATGGTGCCCCTGTTTTCTTTCATCTTTCATGGCCCACCGGAAGCTCAGTTCTCAGAGAGCACTCGAGGAATCCTAGGTTGACTCAACCCCACGTCACAGGAACAAGTAACCCCTGATCTGTCCTCGAGATCCAGTGTGTGTTTCCGAGTGTCCACAGGTGGGCAGCGGGGCCTCCTTCCTTCCGGTCAGCTTGAAGCCTGTCATGCTGATGTCATGGTTTTCTGTTGGACCTTAATGGGCCACCAGGAGAAGAAGGACTATTGTCATTTGGAGACGGTCGATGGGTGCCTACAAATGCAGCTGGTAAATGGGCTCTATTCTTGCACCCTGGAGAGGACAGGCTATTTTTGGATTAAAGAGAGATCTGAGCTTCTGTCCCTCCACCCCCAACCCAGCCACTGTCAGCAAGAATGACTGCTCTTCAGGGGGACCAGAAGTTTTAAGGGGCCACCGCTGGGGGTGCTTCCATAGAATACAGAATCAGCAAGACTCAAGAAAACGGTGGTGGGGGGGTGGTCCGATGCTGAATCTCCAGGAATGCTGAGCCTSAAACCCATCTGTGTACCAAAAACCGCTCTTCTTGGTCACCTTTAGACTCTGACGTGAGTACATGGTGCAGCAAAGGGGACAACTGATTTTTCTCTCCCGGGTACTATTCTATTTGAATAGAAAACATCCCCAAGAGATGCAAAAAAAAAAAATCTGTTTCTGGCCAAAAGTTGATCTTCAAAAAAATTTCAAATGATTAAATTTGGAAAAACAAAACAAAACAAAACAAAAAAAAACCAGTTCTGATTTCTGCAGCTACGTACGACTCTATGGCCCATTCTAAGGGAGAGTTCTTGCTTATGTAAAATATTCAATCATCTCCCCACTGAGAAGTTCAACCGTTTTGTTATTGACTTCGACAATTTAATTTGCAAAAGATGAACCAATGTTTATTATTTTTAGAACGTCTGGTTCTAACATCTCTCTTACTTGGTAACAGTCACTAGGCGAGGGGCTGTGGGGGTGTTAATTTTGCAATTTTTTTTTTCTCCCTGATCTGAAATTCCTATTGATGAAACGAGTGCAGTTAGATGGTAGTTGATATCATTTCAGGAAATGCGGACATCTTAAGACATCACTTTCGMAGTCTCAAGAGGAAGCTCTCTTGGTTGTTGAGAAGGATATTTTATCTTTTCTGCCCAGGCTCCGAAGATTGCTCACACTTCCCTTTCACTCATTGAAAATACTCACCCTGGTTGGAAATTTGAAAGAAAAATGTGAAAATGTCTGGATTTTTTTTTGTTTCGTCACCGCTGTGGGTTCAAAACGTCTTTCACTAGTTGGAATTGTCAGAGAAAAAGAAACAAGATGATTATTTCTATCGAAATGGGCATGATTCCGATTAGCAAGACTTAAGTTGATTTGAAAAAAAAAAAAAAAAGGACTTTATGGTTTCCATGCTGTTTCTTTCCTCACACGGTGACCCTTAGTAACTTCAGTAGTAATAGCAATAACTTCAGCAGCCACTTCGCTAAGAAAAAAGCAATGAAGAGTTTTATGCTATTTGCTGAACTTACCTGTTTACTCGGGATCTCTCCTTTGGTTCTGCTGGAATTATATTTGGAAAATATCAAGCTATTAAAATAAAACTGTAAACAGAAAACGATAAGTCATTCTAATTAGTACCCTAGAGTGGACACAGTGTAGGGGTTTTTTTTTGTTTTGTTTTTTGCTCTTGGAAGATTCCAGATGGGGCCCAAGTTCTTTGTCGAGCCRTGGCTTGTTCTTTGGCAAATTTTCAGACTCATTTCCTTCGATGGTAGGAATGATATCTATGCACTGAATCACTGGGGACCGTGTGGCCGCAGGGAGGACGGCTCTGGGAGAATTGCACATGGCTCGTACTTACAGTGCGGCTCCCAGGAGAAATATCTGTGCAGAGAGAAGCTCGAGATTTATTTTCTTTAAATTTTTTTTTTAAATTCTCTAATTAGTTTATATATGACAGTAGAATTCAYTTTGACACATCTTACATGAATGGAGTATAATTTCTCATTCTTCTGGGTGCCCATGTAATAGAATCACACCACTTGTGTGGTCATATATGCACAGAGAGAGATAATGTCTGATCCATTCTCTGTCCTTCCTACCTCCACGACCCCTCCCCTCCCCCCACTCCCCTCTGTCTAATCCAAAGTACCTCTATTCTTCCCTAGCCCCCACCCCTTTGTTGGGAATTAGCATCCGTGTATCATTTGGCCTTTGTTTTTTTGGGATTGGCCTTATTTCACTTAGCATGATTTTCTCCAGGTCCATCCATTTAACGTCAAATGCCATAATTTCATTCTTTAAGGCTGAGCAATATTCCTTTACAGTGTCTATGTACTAAATATATTTTATCCATTCATCTGCTGAAGGGCCCCCASGTTGGTTCCACAGTTTAGCTTTTGTAAATTGAGCTGCTATAAACATGGATGTGGCTGCGTCCCTAGAGTATGATGATTTTAACTCCTTTGGGTATAAACCAAGGAGTTGGATAGCTGGGTCCAATGGTGGTTCCATTCCAAGTTTTCAAAGGAATCTCCATACTGCTTTCCAGAGTGGTTGTACCAATTTGCAGTCCCACCAGCAGTGTATGAGTGTGCCTTTCCCCCACATCCTCACCAACATTTATGGTTGCTTGTATTCTTGAAGAGCTTTCTAGTGGAAAGTTCCCCAAGAGAGATGCTTCTCTCTGCTATTTGTGCCGTGAAATAGGATGCTAAGTTTTTTTCTGCTTTTTCACACTGAGCGATGGTGACTTTTCCCACTGTGAATTCACTCTCATCGTCCACTTGTCTCAAGTAGGTAGAAATATTGTCAGAGGTGGAAGCCAGGGTCTGGTGCATGATAAACACCCACTCTACCACCCAGTTACAACCCCCAGCCTGCGGATTGTATTTAAATAGTCCTGGTAATGTTTTATGTCTGCTGTCGACCGGGCCTAACACATTTTTTTGTTGTTGTTGGGAGGCCTGGTCCCCACATATAAGTCTAACATATTGTATTCCTAGCATGTAACAGATGGATGTCACAGCCGGGCATGGTGATGTGCCTCTATAATCCCAGGGGCTTGGGAGGCTGAGGCAGGAGGATCACAAGTTCAAAGCCAGCCTCAGCAACTTAGCGAGGCCCTGAGCAACTCAGTGAGACCCTGTCTCTAAATCAACTATTTAAAAAGGCTGGGGATGTGGCTCAGTGGTTAGGCACCCCTGGGTTCCATCCCTCGTACCATTAAATAAATAAAAGGATCTATGTCACAAATGCTTGTTAAATGGCCAGATGCCCACATCTGGCTTTAGAAAGGGGCTCTCCGTTTTTCTCAGAAATGCCAGCAAGATGAGCTCAATTGTCTCCTTGCTCTCTGCAGGATCCGACTGACCCGACATGGTCCCTGTACTCCTGATTCTTTGGGGAGCCACGGTGATACCGCCCGCCGACTTACTTCCTGACCCCAAGGGTAAGGACCTTGGATTCAACGTCGTCCACCATAGAAGGGGTAGCACGGTTTCCCCCTGAGCAAACCCACAGATAGGACGTTTTATATTTATCTTTAAATATGACCCTTCGCTAGCCGGGGTGGGTGCAGAGTGCTGGAAGTCTCTTGGGGTCCATGGAAAATCCCCACACGTCMGTTCAGGGAGCAAAAGAGGGCTCTGTAGCCGCGTGAACAGTATTGGCCTAATTCTGGTTAAAGAAAAAAAAAAAGTTACAAAGTCGTATCAATGCATGCCCAGAAAAAAAAAAAATTATATAGTGACTACATCATGTTAATGTCCTTCTTCATGGTAGGATGGCAGATTTTTAAAGAAATATTTTTCAGTAGTAGATGAACATAATAACTTTATTTATTTATTTATGGGGCACTGTGGATSGAACCCAGGGCCTCACACATGCTAGGTCAGTGCTCTACCTCTGAGCCACCACCCCAGCCCTTAATGACATTCTTCAAGATAGAATTGTAGGATATTTTTTTCTTTTTCTTTCCTTTTTTTTTTTTTTTAAATTGTTCATGTTTACAAAACTGATGAGCAGGTACTGATTTGATTTTGTAATGAAATGGACTTTTTTTTTTTTTTTTGAAAGCAAAGTGAAAGCGTGGTTCATGAAGCGGGTTAAAAAAAGCTGTTTTCTATACATGCCTAAGGAACCAGGGTCACAGTACTTTGGGCCGTGACTCATAATAGGAAATGAACGCATCAGGAATCTTCATACATCATGAATCACRCGGACACGTACCTCAGTACCTTTATGTAATGGTAACAAGAGATTTGCAAAGCAGCTCTTCTTCTTTTCACGGGTGATGCACGCACCCTGGTATTTTCTATTCTGGTATTTTTGGATTCTATGTTTCTTCCACATCATTGAAAAYACGCTGGTCACCACCCAATAAATTGGGATTGTGGCCCATTAATAGATCATGGCCCTCAGTTTGAAAACTACGGTTACAATAAATGATGTTGAAAAATATTCATATTTCCATAAAAAAAAAACCACATCCCTGGTATAGATAGACACTTGGGAAAAGTWAAAWAAATAAATAAATAAATAAAAGATAATGAGTTGGAAACAGTTTTAAAGAAGCATCTTCTGAAATTATTCCGGCATTGAACATCTTCACATCCATGAGCAAAATAGTACAGTAAAATGTTTTTAAATACTTGAAAGTGCTGTTTGTACACCGCAAAACATCGTGTTGCTTTTTAATTTTTTYCCACAGTGTCCCTGCTCCCGCCTGTGAATGTCACCATCAAAGTCACGGGTTTAGCTCAAGTCCTTTTAAGCTGGGAACCAAATCCTCACCAAGAGCCCAGGAACGCTCACCTGGAATACCATGTGAAGATCCACGCCCCACAAGACGATGACGTAAATATCCCTTCTAAGGGCAGCTGTTATTATGTAGAGTAGATGTTTCTTTTGGCTGCATTTTTTTTAATCAAATGAAATTTTAAGCCAAAAAAAAAAAAAAAAAAAAAAGACAATGACCAAAGGTAAAATGGAGTAGATAACGACTTTGATGCTTTTTTTCTACAATGGCATACAGAACAGAAGACAGTAAGTAGCCTTGCAACTGGGCAGAAGTCACCTCTTTGCAAATACTAAGTTTCAAAGTCAGACAAATCAAGTTCAAAGCCCCCTCATCTATACCCTATTGTTGTCACCTTGGACCCGTTAGGTGGCTCCCCGGAGCCTCAGGATGACTTTTGTGCTCATGGAAACCACCTGCTACACCTGTTATGTCCCAAAGTCAGAAACAGTGTGTTTTTAACTATTTTGCAGCCAATATGGAATTCCAGAGAATTTCCTGTTACTTCTGCAGGGCAGAGGAACACTAGAGATAGGAGTCAAAGGGAACTTCAACCTTAAGCTCAATTAAACCTTAATTTTTGTAATATTTTGTTTGGTTTTTATGAGAGGAATATGTTCATGGGCCACCGAGCAATTATGTTATTAGAATGGATTGCCAGCCTCAGCAACAGCGAGGCCTAAGCAACTCAGTGAGACCCTGTCTCTAAATAAAATACAAATCAGGGCTGGGGATGGGGCTCAGTGGTTGAGTGCCCCTGAGTTCAATCCCTGGTACCTACCCGCCCCAATTTTTTTTTTCCTAACAAAACTATTTCGGTCTATTTTATCTATGCTCCATTTGAAAAGTGGAAGAAGAGGCATCCGGGATAAGAAGTCATTTTTTTTAAAGCTACTTGTGGATTTTATTTGCAGTTTGAAACCGGGAGCACGGAGAGCACCTGCGTAGCCCCCCTCCACGAAGGCTTTTCGGCAAGCGTTCGAACCATCCTGCAGGAAGGGCACGCCCCCCTGGCCAGCAGCTGGGTCTCTGCAGAACTCCAAGCCCCACCAGGTAAGGGAAGCTCCTCAAAGTCCAGTTTCATTCCGAACTTTGCAAAACAGGGAAACAGAAAAACTAACAGTGATTTGCTTTTCTGTAGTCAGTCACCAGTTCCTGGGAGGAGTCTTCCAAGGCACGCACACCCTAACGGGGGCTGTGGTCACTTCTTATTGCCAATTCCACCTGTGCATAATATATAGTTGAAATAGGTATGCAGTACATCTTTTTTTTTTTGGTACCAGGGATTGAACTCAGAGGCACTTGACCACTGAGCCCCATCCCCAGCCCTGTTTTGCATTTTATTGAGAGACAGGGTCTCACTGAGTTGCTTAGGGCCTCGCTTTTGCGGAGGCTGGCTTTGAACTCGCGATCCTCCTGCCTCAGCCTCCCGAGTTGCTGACATTACAGGTGTGCACCACGGCGCCCAGGCACTAGGCCCCTGGGCTCTATGCCTCTAGTTTCGCTCCTCTAGGAAGTCAGCTCTTTGCAAATACTACGTTTCTATAAATAGGTGACAAGACACTTGCCATTGCTAAGGTTTCCAAAGAGGTCCAAGATTCAAAAGCAACAGCAGCCACGTTGTTTTGTTCTATTTCCGACCACCCAGGGTCTCCCCGAACCTCAGTCTCCAATTTAACTTGTGCCACCAGCACGACGACGGCAGGTGGTGGCCACCGGAGGCCACACCGAGTTTCTCTCCACTGCACCTGGCTGTCGGGAGAGGAGGCCCCCCCAGACACGCAGTACTTCCTCTACTACAGGTGAGTCCCTATTTTTACCCATGCAAATGGGTCGCCTCCTCTGGGCCTTAGGAAACTCATGAGCATTCCACTGTAGGTATGGCTCTTGGACCGAGGCGTGCCAAGAATACAGCAAAGACCCCACCGGCAGAAATACCGCCTGCTGGGTCCCAAGGTCGTCCATCAGCAGCAAGGGGCACGGCTGGCTGGCGGTCCACGTTAACGGCACCAGCAGGACAGCTGCCATCAGACCCTTTGATCAGCTGTTTGGGGTGCAAGCCATCGGTAAGACAGACTCCACCCAGAGTGGCCCCCATCACTGCATCGCAGGGTCTCAGCGCTGCGCGGGGTGGGACTACGTTTGGGCTGCTGACAACGGGGGCAGGTGGCTCAGTGGGAGCACTGCTGCAGATTTGGGTTGCATGAGTTTTGTGCTACGGGGACCGGCCCTGGATGTTGGAGGATGTCTGGCCACATCCCCAGCCACTGCTCAGGAGATGCTGCCCACACCCGTCTTGGAGATGAGGATCAGGTCCTAGTTTTCCTGGTGTTGAAGAGGAAACGCTCCCAAGCTTAGAAAGTGAGTTTTATTTAAGAAAGAGACAGGCAAAGCTGAGAGAAGGGACCCCAGAGCTGGGAATCCAGGGAACTGGGCTTCTCTTGCTCTTTGACAGACCCCAGAACCCCCCCACTGTCGCGGGCTCCTCCATGTAGGTGCCCAAGGGCAGGCAGGGACAGGAGCACAGGGGAGTCCTGAGCTATCCACTGAGCAGCAGCAATGGGAGCCCAGAGTTTAGCCGTTAGCAACCCATCATTGTCGTTCTTTTTAGAACCCGGAATTGAACCCAGGGGTGTTTAACCACTGAGCCACCTCCCCAGCCCTTTTTATTTTTAATTGTGAGACAGGGTCTTGCTAAGTGGCTTAGGACCACCTCACCCAGTTGCTGAGGCTGGCTTTGAACTCGGGATCCTCCTGCGTCAGCCTCCCCAGCTGCTGGCATGACAGGCGTGCACCACACTGCTCACTTTCTGGGTGTAGAAAAATRGCCCCCAATTACAGGAAGAATTTGTGCGTATGTAGGTGACACTGGGAGATGACTTAAGCACAAGAGACTTTCACAGAAYGTATCCGTTTGGGCATGCAGGAGACAGGTTGTGAGAAGAGAAGGTCTGGGRTTAGCATTCTACTGTGTCACTGGGAAAGGGTTTATTTGGGGGAGAAGGATCCATGTTTTGGCTCCTTCCCAAAGATTGTCATTTTTAGGCTTGATGGATGATGGTTCCTTCCCAGGGACTCTCCTGTCACTAGGAAAGGATGTGTTGGGAAAGGATCTTTGGTATCCATGGGTCACCTTCTTCCTCCTTCCCTCTTCCCAGGCCACACTGTGTGGGGGTTGTCATTTCCATATCTTTCATTTAGAACAGTACAAATGTTCCATGAAGACACAGACTTGTTATTCACAGGGCAGGATTTGGCTTGTGAGACACCTGCCATCAAACAGGAGCCTAAATCTGGCCCCAGAATCGGACCCTTTGCTATTCCCTTCAATGGTACATTTCCTGTGCAGCCCCCCAAACATCCCTTTTATGAAAATAGCCAATGAAAGATTCCGACAGAGACCTAAGAAGGAAATGATAATGGGAGAATGGTTCCGAGCTGGTGCAGGCGGCAGGAATTTATTTCATGACCAAGTCCTGGGATTGCTAAAAAGAATGAAGCAGTTTCTGGGTTGAGAATGTTCTGCTTTAGGGAAGGGCTGACTTCGAAGCCGTCGGATCCCAATCTGAGTGTGTCTCTATGATCTGTTCATGGCGAGACCTCAGTCCTAGGATCTAGGACAAGGACATGCATGGGGAAGTACTTTCTTTCCAGGGATCTTACAATGGAGTCTTGCCCTGAGCTGGGGCAGGGGTGGGGGGAATTCATCCATGTTATTATTCTTATTCTTATTCTTCTTCTTATTATTATTATTTTGGTACTGGGGACTGAACTGAGGTGCACTTGACCACTGAGCCTCATCCCCAGCCCTGAGTTGTATTTTATTTAGAGATGATTCTTGCTGAGTTGCTTAGGGCCTCGCTTTTGCTGAGGCTGCCTTTGAACGTGTGATCCTCCTGCCTCAGCCTCCCGAGCTGTTGGGATCACAGGCATCCGGCCATCCATGCAATTCTGTCAGCCGCAATCTCTACAGCTCACAAGAAGGGTCTCTTTCACACTGTTACAATACAGGAGTCCTAAGGAAGTCACCAGCTTCCTGTGGCTTGATTCAGATCTAATGATAAACTAGGCACGTTGGTGCACGCCTGTCATCCCAGTATTTGGGAGGCTGAGGCAGGAGGATCGCAAGTTCAAAGCCAGCCTCAGCCAAAGCAAGGTGCTCAGCAACTCAGTGAGACCCTGTCTCTAAATAAAATACAAAATAGGGCTGGGGAGGTGGCTCAGTGGTCGAGTGCCCCTGAGTTCAGTCCCCACAAAAAAAGAAAATCTTGAATGCCTGGAGAGGTGTGGGTGGATTGGAGTTAATTGGCCCTGATGACAAACTCAATATCACTGACGTCTCCTTCTCTAACCAGCTCGAGCGAATCCGCCAACCAACGTCACAGCCCAGATCCAGGGAACGCRTCTCTCCATCCGATGGGACAAACCCATTTCCGCCTTTCCACAGCACTGCTTTGATTACGAAGTGAAGATACACAACACAAAGAAGAATTACTTGCAGGTAATTCCCCAGAGGGTCCCAAAAGTCCGTGACAGATATTCATTTTATAAACATTGAACAAAATTTTTTTTTCCCCCTCCATTGGCTGCTCTGGTTATAGCTGGGTACGAACAAGGTCAGCTACATCTGCCCAGGGGTTATGGAAATCAACCAAACCATACAGACCTTTTGTTCTGCTTAGGGATGAAAATGATCCCAGGGGTCAGATGAAACCTCGAGGGTACTGGTGGAGGGAAAATGTAAAATGTCGCGCCGGCTCTGGTTGAAAACAGGAACCTCAGTGTTCCAAGACCGACAGCCACGTTCAAGGCTGTGTTAGATCCCATCTCAGCCCAAAGCCTCAGGCGACCCAGGTGCCATCGATGGATGACAACACACCCAAGATGTGGTGTGTACACACAGTGCAAGGTGTCACTCAGCCTGGGTTTATTTACTTGTTAATTTTTATTTTTTGGGCAMTGGGGCCTGAACCCAGGGGTGCTTAACYACTGAGCCACATCCTGGCCCTTTTTAATATTTTATTTAGAGACACAGTTGCACCGAGTTGCTTAGGGTCTTGCTAAGTTGCTGAGGCTGGCCTTGAACTTGGGATCCTCCTGCCTCAGCCTCCTGAGCTGCTAAGATGACAGGTATCTGCCACCGCACCTGAGTTTCACTCAGCCTTTAAAGGGAAGGAAATTGAAATCGGCTTACACAGTGGATGGACTGTCAGGACGTGGTGCTCAGGGAATGAGCCAGTAGGAGAAAGATGAAGAACTGTGTGATTCCACTCACAGGAAGCACCCAGAGTGCTCCAGCTCTCAGAACAAACCAGAGCTATTGCTCGTGATTCAACCTGAGCTCATCCCGGCCCAGAGGGCCAGTTTTGCAAGATGAGAAGCACGGGAAGATGGACGGTATTTAAAACTGCTGATCTGTGCAGTTAAAAATGCAGCGGATGGTTGATTTTATATTGAATGTGTTTTACCGCAGTTTTAAAAAAACACATACAGGGTACAGTGGCATGTGGCGGTCATTCGGGCTACTTGGGAGGCTGAGGCAGGAGGATCGCAACTTTGAGGCCAGCCTAGGCAATGCAAGTCGATCCCATCTCAGAAAAATAACAAAATAAAAATAAACACCTCCTGCTTCATGAAACTGCCAACATTTCTTGAGGATAGATTATGTGTCAAGCTTTATAATTTTATCTTATCCTCACAATAACTCTTGGGTAATGACCATTCYCTTTGGAGTGGCAAGACCTGGAAAAAGACAGAGTCTTGCTCACAGTCATGGAGCTAGAGCAGAACACAGGGGCGGCAGGCTTCCAACACGTGTCTCACTGATAAGAGAAAAAGTAAACGCAGAGCAATGTGATCTCATCAATATATTTTTTGGGGAGTACCAGGGATTGAACTCAGGGGCACTCGACCACGGAGCYCCATCCTCAGCCCTATTTTGCGTTTTATTGAGAGACAGGGTCTCACGGAGTTGCTTAGCACCTCGCTTTTGCTGAGCCTGTCCTGCCTGCAAATATTTTTTTTTTTTTTGGTAAATGCTGAGAGGCTTTTCCGACCATTCATTTTTCTATCAAAATCACTCAGAATTAAAGCGGCCACCGCGTCAACAGATGGGTAAGACTGCTTCCCATACGGCTTTATCTGTGGACACGAAGATTTCCATTTCACGTGGTTTTCATGCATCGTGAAACAAGACTCTTCTTTGGAGATTTTCCAGCCACTGAAAAATACCTAAGCCACTGAGTGAAGTGGTGCACACCTGTAAGCCCAGTGGGTTTGGGAGCCCGAAGCTAGAGAATGGAAAGTTCAAGGCCAGTCTCTGCCAATCACCAAGACCCTAAAGCAACGTAGGGAGACCCTGTCTCAACATCAAAAATTTTGAAAAATGCTGGGATATGGCTGGGTTGTCTATCACCTCTGGGATCCATCCACTGTACTAAACCCCCTCCACGAAAAACCCCCCAAACGTAGCAAGTCATAGTTTGTAGGTCATTCAAAATCAGGTGGCAGATGAGTTTGCAGATACCAGGACGGGCAGCCCTTGTGACAGTGTTCAGGATTCAGGACGCAGACGGAGAAGGCCAGGGAGCCTCTTCACACTGGTAGAGGCTCCTCTGGACTTTGCATGGGAAACATCAGTTGGGCCCCTACGGGAGCGCCTGACCCTTCATGGATGGCCAGATGTCTTTGAGTGACTTCCTGGACACCGCTCACTATTTCTACAGGACCCCCTCCAGCTGGTCGTCGACCTACCTTACCGGTTTTGAGATTCTTACAAGGACTTTTTCCCCCCATTTAGATGGAAAAGATCATGACCAACGCGTTCGTCTCCGCCATTGACCATCTCTCCAAGTACTCCATTCAAGTGAGGGCGGCCGTGAGCCCCGCCTGCAGGACAGCCGGGCTCTGGAGTGAGTGGACTCCACCTATCTATGTGGGTGAGTCTCCGAGAACTTGGGGGTGGGGGTCTTGGAACGGTTTTGCGTCTCTGCTGGGTCCCATCTCCCATGACTCCACCGCTGGTTCCCATCAGAGACGGCTTTTCCAGGAAGCCAGCCAAGCCTGGGTGTCCACCCGGTCCCCAGAGCAAGCCCTTCTCGTGAGTCCTACCTGTTGTTTTGCTTGGAAGCCTCTGTTCCTCCTTCTCTCCAAAGGCTTGAACTTTTTCAGCTAAGTGTAGATCTACAAGCTGCTCAAAGAAAAAAGAGCTCAACTGCCTTTTACGTAGCTTACCCCAAGTTCAGTGTCCTGCAGAAAAAACTTAGTACCATATGATGGGTCAGAATATCAGAAATGACAATGCACCTATCGTATTCAGATTCCGATGGCTTTCTATGCATTCATTCATGGGTTCCGTTCTGCACAATTTCAGCACATATTGAGTTGCAAGTGTCAAYATGTATCTTTACAAAGATCCAAAGTGTATCAATAGGATACAGGACAGCGCATTACTAGGATTCCTGATGCTGTTCCCCCATCCCCATTTTTCTTTGGTCCTGAGGATGAAACCCAGGGGTGCTTACTCACTGAGCCACATCTCCAACCCTTGTTTCCCCGCCAGCACTTTTTTATATTTTATCCGGGCGCAGAGTTTCACCAAGTTGCTAAGTGCAACATCAAGTTGCTGAGGCTGGCCTCCAACTTTCCATCCTCCTGCCTCAGCCTCCAGACTCACTGTGATTCAGGTGCGTGCCCCTGGGAGAGGCTCCTCTTGCCAATTTTATCACCGCACCCAATCTCTCTGTCTCCCTCCACCTTTCCCAGCAACCACTCATCTGCTCTCCAGCACCGTGATGTTCCCATACCTAATTCTGAATTTATACTTCATCTCTTTTTCTTCAAAAATGACTCTGAAATTGAGTGATCTTCAGAAAAATCTAGATCCCTCCCTGAGCCTTCTCTCTCATGGTCAGAAGATCTGAATCTCTGGGTATTTCTTAAGCACCTGTGTTGCTCTGCGGTGGTTTTGGTTTTATGGTCAAATTGGCTAGTTTGTTTGGCAAGTAAAATGACCCCCTGATGTGTTAGTGGGGTCTTTGAAAGGTCACGGGCATTAGATGGTGGCTGTGCACAAAGGGCACATTTTCCCAGGCCCTTCTCGAGAGAGACAGGCCAGTTAAAGAAGCAGCTATTAGGTCTCGCGTGCCTGTCAGAACCACGCAGCCTGGACAGGCAGATGAACCTGGTCGAGGGGTCTACGGGAGCAGACAGGGTAGAAAGAACCCAGGAGTCTCCCACTGAATGCCGGGGTTGGACACCCAGCCTCCGCACACACAGGGGCCTCGTATCCTTGGACACACTCGTCTCTCTGCGGGACAACAGGAAGCAACTCCAACCTGTCTGCCTCCCGGGGTTTTGTGAAATACAGTGACCAGAGCAGGCCACAGGTATGGGAGGTCATTTGCCGGACACTGTGCTAAATGACTCTCTTGCATGATCTCAATTAATTCCCTGCACCGAACTATTTTGCAAGAAAGTTTAGGTCACTTACAAGTGGCAGGAAGAAATGGGGCTCAGCCCTAGGCTGGCGCAAGCACCCCAACTCTTAGCTCCCTGGTATGGGGTATCAATATCCTGCAAGGCGCCAGGTGCTGTAGAAATGAAAGACCCGTGTAAGAGATCTTGGTTACCCCTCCACCCTGACCCCCCAGAATCTGCTCTGTATTTCATTCACTTCCACTACAGAGTGGATCTTGAGGCAGTGACCCATTAGACCCTGAGAATGTGAGTCAGACCTGAGGCCTATCAGGTAGACTTCCACGGAAGACCAGGCAAGAGGAACCCTGTTTGGTGTCAGAGGAGCCTGGATCCCCTAAAAATTGTGCAGTGCGCCACACACATGGCCTTACGTGGTGGCCCTGACATCACTAGAGGGCTCGGAGAGCAAGCAGGAGCCTTCCAGAGGAGAGGGAACTGAAAGCGGGGTAAGAGGAACTGAGAACACACCGCATCACCTGCTGCAGGGTTCTGCTGAGCCTGAACGCCCCCCTCTGCGTGCCCCCAGGTTGACCTACCTACGCCGACCCCAGCACACAAGGGACTTCCCTCCACCCTGCTTCATGTACCCAGATAAAAAAGACTCACTGTGGGCCCAGAAAGAGAAACGCACAGAAGAACCCCGCCTCAGCAACGCTTTTGAACAAGATGATTCATTTTGTCAGATGCCTGGGGTGGGGGCTTCATTTTCATTCCTCGAATTCACAAGGTCTCCATTTTTAAAGTGTTTTCTGCGACTTCCCAAGGGCACCAAGCTCGGTGGCCCCCGTTGATCTTTCTAAGCACCTTCCTAACACCACCACGTAGGCTGGTTGCAGACAGACAGACAGACGTGAGCTCCTTCCCCAGCCCTCTTAGATTTTGTTTCGAATGCTGCCCAAGGAACTTCAAAGCACCATGCTAGAGACCAAGGTCAAGGCGCTGGCTAAGAAACGACTTGGGCTTTGGGAAGGGGTGCRACGTGAAGCTACCGTCCCAGTTGACCAGAGCGTGGGCCATCTAGGTGTGAGCCGGACCTCTGCCCCTGTCCAGCTCTTCCACCCAAGTTAGCAGGGACCAAAGATAATACAGAGAAGCAGGTGCTCAGAGGCTGCCTAGKTACAGTGTTCAGGAGGATTCTGAGGATGAACGTAGATCAGGGGGCATGGAGATCATCAGAGAGGACCGAGCGGGGACTCAGCCCCTCCAACCTAACCCCTCTTGGCCTATGTCCTCAGCTGTGAGTCACAGTCCCTTCCCCTGTCACCAATCCTGTTTCTCCGCCCCCCCCCATCACCCCTCCTTGAATCTGCTGAGCGGCGAAGGGGATCCGGACGGAGGGTTCATTTTAAGCTGGTTTTGAATTTGTCCCTCACTGGCCACTTTAGGGCCCTCTTGCCATTGCGGCCTGGGCGACAGCTGGCTAGTGCAGATCTCAGCTCATTACGGGTCCCCGCCCCCCCGCACCCCACCTCCAGGTGTCCCTCTTGGATCCGTGACGTTTCACCCATTTCACCGACAGCCGCCCCTTTCCTGAAGACCAGGGGAGACCGTCTCAGCCCCAGGGGCAGGCGTTCTCACGTGGTCCTGGGGTCACCTGCTTTCACTTGTCCAGCAGTGTCTTGCCACGGTGTCGACTCAGAGGTCCCCGGGTCTTACAGAAGGTGTTGAGTTTGCAGAATTTGGGGGGGAAGGCCAGGAGGAGGCCAAGAGGGGCCCTCCTGCCCCGGGTCCCTTCRGCTTCCCCTCTCCTGTTGGCACCACACAGTGACAACTGCAGAGGCGAGGGCTGGTGCAGATCAGCAGGCGGGGGGACGTGGACGGCAGCTCCAGGACCTGGGTGCCAGGCACAGGAAAGCCGAGGAGATGTATTTGATGGCCTCACTAAGTTGCTGAGGCTGCCTCTGAACCCGGGATCCTCCCAGTTCTCGATCGGCTCAGCCTCCGTCTTGCCAAGCAGCAGGGCCGAGTTCCTGGACCTCGTCCGGCTCCCCTGACCCACCTGTTCCTCTCCAGTTCCCCTCCGCGTTCATTTCAATGCAGATCCCTGCAGGATAAGGCCATCCTCGCCTCCCRCCCGCTGTGCATTTTTGCTGAGGATTCTGACAACACTCCGATTGGGGTCATGTCCCGAGGATCTGGAGATCGTCACCTTGAGGCCTGAGTGCTGACTCCACGTCATCCCCATTAGGAGGATCCTGAATGGGCGTCGAGCACCTACTACGTGAGCTCCGTGCCAAGCCCTTTACACACATCCACTCCCCCATCTCCATTTTGCAAAGCGGGAGAGAGACCGTCACCCTGCTCGGCCACCTCCAAAGCAAGAGGTGGAACCCGGATGGAGCCCCTGCACCTTGCTGTCACTTTGGTTTGATGACCGCACCCCTGCAGCCRCCTTCGGGGGTTGGCAGAGGCGATGCAGCAGCTGATCCCACAGGGAAGAGAGCTGCAGGTTCGGGACCTGCAGAAGGCGTGCGGCCCTTGCTGCCGGGAGGCCTTTGCTTGCAGAGAAAGAAGCCGCCCCAAGCACAGCCTTCCTGGGGGGGTAGCTCAGACACACAGGGCCCCTCCAGCCCTTTGTGAAGGCCCCAGCCTCCAGTCCCTATCGCCTCTCCAGGTTTCCCTTCTCCTGAGCCATTTCTCCAGGTGAACGGGACTGTGTGCCTTTTGAGGATGGTGACCTCCACCCTCTGCTCACGCATGCTGTCTTTTTGGGGGGCTCCAGCTGGGGCCCGTGCTGCACTGGAGAGTCCAGGCACCTGGAGGTCAGCTTGTGCCTTTGACCTGCACTGGGAACCCGGGATCTCCTGAGAGCCACCACAGCTTGGCCCTTCCACCAGGGAAAGCTGGTTGAACCCGGCATCCYGGATGAGCACATTGGAGTTCTGTCCACGACTCGGCCCTCTTGGGGCCTTTTGAACGTCCCTAGAACCAAGTGAGCAAGAGGGACTTGCAGGGCAAGAGGGGCTGCAGCGTCCAGTCACAAGTGGCTTCACCAGGTCCCGCACCAGCCAGGAGCAGAGCTGGCACACAGTGGTACAACCCTGGGGACTTCCTGGCCCCTGGATGCCCTCCCACCCCATATCCACCCGCAGGACACAGAACAACAGAATTTCCMCCCGTTGGATCATCTGCAAAGTTGAGATGTCAAAAATACAGAGAGGAAGGTCCCCAGAAACCAGACAGCTGGGTTCCCCAAATGCTCCAAGTTGGGTTCCCCAGATGCTCTAAGTTGGCCACCACGTGTGCAGAGTGTCCAGGAACCAAGTGGTCCATCCCGAGGGCTGCTGCCCCTCAGGACAGGCTGTGCGACTCCCTCTTTCTGGAACGCATCTTGACACCAACACAAGGCACTGCCCGGCGACTTTTTAAAAGGAAGCATYCGCGGCTGCGATTTCAGCGGTGGGCAGGGTATCGTCCTCCCGTTAGAGAGAAGATTCAAGTTACCTGGAAATTGTGAACAGTCCCGGGACTGGACCCAGGAACGTGTGCATGAAATAGTTCTTTAAAGGAAAAAAATACTCCAAGGCCAAAGACTCCAAAATTCCAAGTAAGGATGTGAGATGTAGGATAGAGAGAAACACTGGATCCTCAAGGAAGCACCCACAAGCCACTGAGATGGAGAAAGCTTAGCTGCCTGTCCATCTGGGCCTGGGCCCTTGTAAATGGAGGTAAATAGGCAAATGCAGGGAAAACGGGTGTGGAGTTGTGCAGCTCCATCCTGAACCCACCTCCTGTCCTGCCCCTGATAGAGCCCTTTGATAAATACGGGGTGCCCAGCCCAAACCAGGGCTGCGCRTACTCGAGACAGTGCGCATTCTCCCCTCCATGGGCATCAGCCTTCCTAAATGAACCTGTCTGTGCCTTCGTGTGGCTGGTACAGAAATTCTCCTCTGTCACTCAGGTCAAGAACCCTGCTGGCATGGAGTTGAGCTCCCCGTCTCCTCTGGGAGCTCCCTGGACCCTTCTCTGCAGACATCTATTCTCCCGTGACATGTTCCAAGGGCTCTCCCAACTCTTAGGCTGCAGAAATCCTTCATCCTCATGACCAGCGTAGCTCTACCATTGGGGGGGCCTGCTCTCCTTATTCTCCCTCAGCAACACCATAAGACGTGCCCAGTTCATTTATTTATAGTTAACTCACTTATTTATAGCCCCTGGCTCTCGATTCTTTGTGCATTAGGAAATAACTGGAAATAGCAGGTGATTGACAAGTTAAGATGGCGAGTGCTCTTCCCTGCACTCACTGTACCTGCCAACATATTTGGTCTCTGCAAGGAAGCTGACCTGGTTGTGTGCTTGGTTGTGTCCTTTCTCGGCTGCATGTGAGTAGACCCTGCCGGAGTCAGGCCAGCGGCCATAACCCCCTTGCCAAACTCCCCCCAGGCACTGCAGCATGGCACCTTAACGTGCATGGATAACATTGTTCTTTTCTGATGGAATGAAATGAAATCAGGGGCCTTGGTCTTTTTTGCTAATAAGGGGAGAATCTTTGCTTATCAAAGGGAGAGCTGAATTCAATAACCAGAGGGTGGTTTAACTGAAAAGATCTTTGTAATCATGCTCACAAAACAACGGTGCTATTATCAGGACTCGACATATCAGGCTAGTGGGTGTTACACAATGTGAGCCGCAAACATGGCCGTGTGTGTGTGTGTGTGTGTGTGTGTGTGTGTGTGTGAGCCTGATAATATTTACAACACTGCTTCTTCTTTCTATGGGACCCCCGACTTTCTCTGGCCGCTGAACCTAGTTGTAAACAGGTACCTTTCTTCTTGATTGACAGACTCGGTACAGAACTCGCATCTGCGTTGACGAGTCCAGCATCTCTGGATAGACTCATTAGGGTTCTTGCCTAATGAGAAAGAGAGGGGAATGGTTTATGTTGAGGGAACAAGGTGGAAGCMGAATTCCTTTTTTTCAGACAAGAAGAGTGGGACACGGAGTGAGACAGTATTGGAGGTGATGCTATCAATTCACCCCAGTTTGCTCTTTAGCTATGAGCAAGTGTGGTCAAGGTCGGGTTCACGGGGGCGCTTCATCTGCAGAAGTGAATCCTACCACTGATGAGCATGGGTGAGATTTGGAAAAATAAAAGGTCGTGCCTTTCCGAGGGTGTCCTCCCTAATTTTAAAAACCAAGGCTAATGCACACAGAACATTTCAGAATGAAAGCTTTTTTTTCTCCCCAACAAGATCGCTATCTTTTAAAATTTGTTCTAAGTAGTTACACTTGACAGCAGAATGCATTTTGACACATTGTATACAAATGGAGCATAACTTCTCATTCCTCTGGCTGTACATGGTGCAGAGTTATACCAGTCGTGTGATCATGTGTATGTAGGGTAATAATGTCTGTCTCATCCCACCATCCTTCCCACCTCCACCACCCCACCCCTCCCCTGACTCCCCTCCACACAATCCAAACTTCCGTTATTCTTTCCTACCCTATTTTTATTTTTTTGATGCAAACTTGGGTTTGGCTGTTCTCAGCTTTGCAAAAACACTCAAGTGCATTTCATCTATGGGAGGTTTTATTTTATTTATTTATTTTTKGGGGGGTATCAGGGATTGAACTCGGGGGCACTGGACCACTGAGCCACATCCCCAGCCCTATTTTGTATTTTATTTAGAGACAGGGTCTCAATGAGTGGCTTAGCACCTCGCTTTTGCTGAGGCTGGCTTTGAACTCGCGATCCTCCTGCCTCAGCCTCCTGAGCCGCTGGGATGACAGGCGTGTGCCACCAAACCTGRTTTATGGGCAGTTTTTGATCTAGACCTGGAAGTGTGCATCCTGGCAGGGTCAGGAGGAAAGGCCTGGGAGAAGACTTAAATTAAAAGATAAGATAAAAGATAATAGTTGCAAATATCCAGGGGTCACGGGATGAGCCGAGAGGGCCAGCCGAAATTACAAAAGGGGGAGAAGGAACATTTGGGTAGCAGAACCCACAGTTGTGTCTCAAGGAGGACTTGACCTTTGACAGACTGAAATCCAGAGAGGAGGTTAGGAAGACAGGACTTGGGAGAAAAAAATCTAAGAATCCTTTGGCTTTGGCTTTGAAGACATCACCAGGGATTGGTTTGGGCAAATGAGGCAGCCCAAATCCTTTAGTCTAGAAACTCGGGCTGGGAGAGGAAGGAAGAAGGCATTTGATGCTAGGTTTGAGGAGGTGGCCAAGCCAAACCACGGCTTCTTCAAGACAGGACCTCTGTGAATATCCGAAAGCAGAAGGTAAAGAGATCAGAGCTTTGGGGAAGTACAAGAGGAACCTCAATCGGAGTCCCCAGAAACCCTCAAAGCAAGAGATGAGGTGGAGAGGAGTCACGGGCACCCGATCTAAAGACACTTCTCCCTCTTGGTTCTTGATTTTTTTTTTTCTTTTTGTTTTTCTTTCTGGTTTTCAGTCATCTGGGGTTTGGGGAAGTCTTAGTCTATTTACACAGCCTGGAACTCTCCGCCTGTATATGCATGTCGCATTTTATAGACCAAGTCAAGGGCAAACTGAGGATTGGAGGCTTCTTCTCCCAGGGCACTCGGAACCCCACCACACTTGGGCTCAGGTGTCCCGATATCCTGTGCTGTGATTGACCTCCTGCAGTTTTTCCCCACCTGTTCTCTTCACCACTGTGTCCCAGGACCTTGGACAGTGCCCCAAACATCTAAGGAGGCTCCCAAGTCCTTGTTCAATGGATGGATGGATGATGAAGGAGAGCTCGTTGCCACAGAAAGCAACCTGTTCAGGGACCTAACTCAGGTTTTATAGAGGCATTTTAGCAACCATACAYACCCCTCTGCCTGCCTTTGTTTTTGTACTGAGAATTGAACCCAGGGCTGCTCCACGGCTGAGCTGTGCATATGCCCAGTCTTTTTAATTTTTTTTCTTTTTTTCTAAGACAGAATCTTGCTAAGTCACTGAGGCTGGCCTCAAACTCACAATCCTCCTTCCTCAGTCCCTTAGCCACAGGTCTGCACCACCCACCACATCGACTAAGGACATCGCTTCTTTAAATACCACTTAGTGAAAGGCCTTGGGTTTTTCTTGAACGCATTCCCAGTACCTTACCAAAAAAAAAAAAAAAAAAAAAAAAAAAAAGATACACACACCCCAAAGCTATCATTGAAACCCCCAAGTGTCTGTCCCTGGAGTGTGGATTAGGAACACATTTAGATGGAGACTAAGATGCATGCCGAATACTTACTGCAGGGACCAATGGTCCTTTCCATCTACTTTCCTATCTGTGAAGTGGGAATATGGGTCAAGGAGGGTTTGGGAGGAATCTAGATCATAAAGCACTTACAGCCGAGTCTGAGATCACTGTGTCAACTACAAATATGTTCTCCTTACTCCCTCCACAAGTTCAATTTTCGACTTTGTAAAAAATGCCTTTACAATTAGTTTGCTAAGTAGCCATCTATCTTTTGAGCTTTTCCATCGAAAAATCTGACTCCTCCAGTGGATGGGCTCCAGGTGCAGGCGGATGGGACTCCGAAAGCCCTTGCCAAATGAATAAATAATGCATTGTGATTAAAAGTGGCCTCGCTGCTATTTCATTCCATTTCACCCTCTTGGCCACTGCAGGACTATGATCATCTCAGTCTCAGGAAGGCGAAGCCACCTGCCCAGCGTTACCCACCACTTGCCACTCACACCCCAGCCTCCTGACGCCCCAAGCCTCAACCTTCCTCCTGTCTACCTCTGATCCCTAACTTGGATCTTTCTCTCTTCCCCCACCCCACCAGGAAGCGAGGCGCGGAAGCCCCTGATGGAGTGGCTCCTCATCCTGCTCACGGTGACCGCCTGCTTCGCCGTGTTGATCTGCCCGCTGCTCTGCAGGATGTAGGTCTTCTGTCTCTGCATCCATCGGACACTGGGTGCTTCTTATCAGGACGAATGGATAGCATTTTTTTTGTTTGTTTCTGGGTGGCCTTTTTGAGGTCAGTGGAGACCAAATAGATAGCGAGACGCATCGGCAGGCCTGGCTCAGATGCTGGACAGAACACCTCGTGGCCCTTGGCCACTGCCCACGCTCTCAAATTCCTCAATGTCCTCCTTGTTTCTGTGAAGCTTTTGACCATGGTCTTCTAGCCTTCCCATTCAGTGCTTACTGGTTTTTTTTTTTTTTTTTTTTTTTTTTTTTGCTATGGATGTTTGATAACTCACCCAAATTTTCAATTCTGCAATGAAATCAACACAGGTGCAATGAAACAGAGTGGAAACCATGCTCATATATATAGATTCAAATGCTCTCACCAATCGCCTATTACTTTTCTCCAAGGAATGGAGCTCTAAATACCTACCATTTCTAGGCCATAAGCCTCAACGGTGAAGTGCTGCCTTCCATCACCTGGCCCCGAGGGGCGGGTGGCTCTTAGGTCCAACACAGATCCTGGAAATGCCATGCAGACCCTGCAGCTTGCAAATGGCCCCAGACCCCTCTCCATCCCTGGTAGCCCTCTGTAGGATCAAGTACCCTTCCGAGGCTCGACGGCACGTTCTGTCTCAGCCCTTTCGTAACTCGGAAAATGGGAACTTCACGTGAAACAGCTTTACTGTCCTAAAAGTTCTCTCCACATGGCGTCTCTGGGCTGGGGTGGGGGGGCAGGTGAATGGCAGTCACAGGAAGAGAAAAGCAAGCAAGCCATGTCCGGGCGTGAGCACCACACCATGCCCGCCCTGGATCAGCAAAGGTTTTGAGTTAATCCATCAYCCAGTCCTGGGACTGACGAGGTCAACTCTCAGAGTAGACATGGAGGGACAAGAGAGAYGCCCGTGCTCACCGGCTCCTTCCTTTATTCTGTTTTCAGATGTCACTTGTGGGCCAGGTTGTTTCCACCTGTTCCAGCCCCGAAAAGTCACATCAAAGATCTCCTGGTGACCGCTCACTGTGAGGTAAGGCTGAAGGTCCCGAGAGGCATCGTGAGCGCCCGGGTTGCTGGCCCTGGGGAAGCAGCGCTGAGCTCTGGACTTTCCCTATGATAAGGCAGGGGTTTCCCCCAGGAGGCCGGGGGACGGTCACTGGAGTGGTCTTGTTGGGCTGATTCGGGTTGGACATGTTCACTGCTGTCTCACTAAAGTCCCACTCCATGGTGAGCGCCCTGGCCTGCCCAGGCAAGCTCTGTACCGCTGAGCCACAGCCTTAGCCCCTGATCTTCAGTTCAGCACCTCCTTTCCCAGGTGAAGTGTCTCGGCATCTTTGTGGTGAATCACGTTTCTATTACACGGTTGCACTCTGTCTTTGATTTCGTTGATCTCCCTGTCTGTTTTCAAGAGGAGAGAGAGAGAGAAAGAGAGAGAGAGAATGGTGTGGTCTGGTGCGATCAGCCCTGTGGCCTAGATTCCCAACCACAGTGCTCATGGGGCTGGCCACAGCTGAATGACACGTGGCAGGGACCCAACCTCTATCTCCAAAGGCAAGAGCCCTCTGTCCTACTCTCGGGGCCTCTGCTATAAGAACAAGGGGACCCACCAGTGTTACTGGCAGCGACCACCCACAAGTGACCGGCTAGTGAGAAGGGAACCCTCTACTTTCAATTCTGCTGCTGTCCCCCAGCGTCCCCGGGGGATTTGCTCCAAGGCTCACTGTGGATTGCAGAAGCCACAGATGTTCAAATCCTTTATATAAAAGGGGGCGGTATTTGCACAGAACCTCTGTGCATCCTTTCAAGCCTAATGCCTGACCTTGTGCAACTACTGGGTAGGAAACGGTCTCACTGCGCTCTTCAGGGAGAAACGACAAAGAAAGCCAAGTTCATACAGGTTCAGGACAGACGCAGCTTGTTTTTTTTTTTTTTTTTAATTTTCCTCAAATATTTTTGTTCTGGAGTTGGTTGGACCCGCAGATGCAGGATTCAGGGATTCAGAGGACCGACGACGGTAGCTGGCACAGAGCTCRGTTCTGGGTGCCCAACGACTGGGGACTTGGGGGATCTCTGCCAGCTCACAGCTCTGGTTAAGCAAGGGCTTGCTCAGACCTCAGTTAGAAACGGGAACATTCAAGAGACAGTGAAGCAAGGAGATCAGGTGACCTTACAGGGTGACAAAATCAGGGGGCACTTATTTAAGAAAAAACAAACAGACCAACTTATGCTGAGCTTTTAATTGATTAGAGTCTGCTTTCTATCTAACCAGAGAGTTGGTCCCCGAGCGAGATCAACCGTAAACCTTTAAATTAGGTGAGGCTGTGTGTGGGGTAAGAGGAGGAGGAGAGGGACATCCACAATGGGAAGGTTCCAGACTTTCCAATTATCTGCATTGTGTTGGAGCTCAAAACTGTGCATAACCAATGTCAAAATTGAGGGGAATATTGTAACGGACAGTGTAAGAATATGAGCGATCACAAAGCCAAAGAACATATATCCATTTTTAAAATGCCACATTATGTTACAGAGAAAGAAAGAAATTTGCAAAGCCGCTGGATGGCTGGGGGTATACACTGCATGCTTAGCCAGGCTGAGGTCTGGGGGTTCAATCCCCAGCACCCAAAATACGGAAAACTGGGCAGCCCTGTGACGTAGTCACAAAAAAYGTACAGAGACCTTAATTCCATAGTAAAGATGCTGAGACAGCGGCGGGTGACRGGTAGGTTTTATTTTTCTCTTCTCCCTACTGTGTGTTCTATAGTTTCTTCAACAGTCACTCTATTTTTATTTTTTAAAATCACTTGAATCATAAAGAGTTTGGAGAGATGAGGTGTTTGCTCAGAGACATCTAAGGACGGACGTTTCCTTTTGCAGAAAGCCGGTTCCAGTGCCACAGAGACGGAAGTCATCARTTTCGTGGAAGGGCTCGGGTGTGAGGTCTTGGAAAATTCCGTGTTCTGATTCCTTGGAGCCTCCTTGGAAGGACTTGCACCACGTTCTGGGCCATGAGAACAGGGACGGCTGCTTCTTCCGAGAAGACGTGTTCAGCCTTTAAGGAGCCCTGAGCAGGGCGAAAGGGGCGCACGCCTCTGATCCCAGCGGCTTGGTGAGGCTGAGGCAGGAGGATCCAAGCTTGAGGCCAGCCTCCGCAACGAAGCGAGGCCCGAAGCAACTTAGCGAGAGGAGACCTTGCCTCAGGAGAAAATAACAACACTGAGCTGAAAAATCTCAGGAAGAAAGCAGAGTACACCGGCCTAAAGTCAATCACGAATCCAGATTCCGAGAACTGCCTTTCCCATAGCAATCRGGAGCTGCTAATTCTTGAGGGCTTTCTTCTTGGAGTTCTAGAATCCCTTTTGCTCAAGGAGCAGGCGTGTGCGTGTGAGAGAGAGAGAACCAAACAGACKGTCTCAAGGCCCAGCGGCCTGATCCAGGGAGCACCCTTTGAGGCAAACTGATGTAAAAACATCACCCTGCTCTTGAGGGTAGCATTAATATCCTGGAAATATTAAGGAGATATCTCTGTCACCTTGACAAGTCTATAATCATTTACCAAGGGTTGGCCCCCCCCCCCCCGCCATCTGACCCCGGATCGCTAGGAAGGTGTCCAGAAAACTATTTTTAATGAACGCCTTAGATCGGGTGTTGTAAGCAAGCATCAGCCGGGCACCGTGGCGTACACCTGTCATCCCTTTGACTCAGGAGGCTGAGGCAGGAGGATCGCAAGTTCAAGGCCAGCCTCAGCAATCAGCGAGGCCTTGTCTGAAAATAAAAAGGGGCGGGGATGTGGCTCCGTGGTAGAGCGCCCCTGGGTTCCATGGCTAGTAGCACAATATATAAATAAATAAAGCATCAGAGTCACCTGGAGGGACATTATAATCCTGAAGACCGGGCCCCATCCTCAGGTCTGCAGGAGGAGGTCTGGGACAGGCTCTGAAGATTTGCAATGCCCACCAGCCCCCAGGTACCCCTCGTGCCGTGGGTCTTGGGATCACACTTGGAGATTCGCTGCCCTGGGTGACTCTGTGCCTCACCCACGTTGAGAGTGGACTTCAGGCCTGTGCGCCCAGAAGCCCCCAGGAGCCGGACAACGGAAGCCCTGGGGGACCCTCTCTGAACAGGCAGGTGCTGGGACATGAGCTCTGCAGTGCCCAGCCTTCCCCAGGCTGCAGAGAACTGGGTCCCCTGGAGGGGACTGTGAAAGTCCCGGGGCCCTCACTAAAACAGGTGAGTGTCAGACCCGTGGGGTCTCCTACAACCAGACCCCAGCTGTAGCTCCGCTGTGGTTTTCAGATAAGTGACGTCGTTATCTCTTGCCACCAACGATGTCGCAACCACCCTGGGTCCAGGCCCTGATAGAGGAAGTGGCTGGGGCTTCACCCAAGGGTCYGATTTGGGGGAGACGGGCAAATCAAGGCAGGAAGAACACAGGACTCGGTTAGACCTGCCAGCACCCCGCCGGCCTCAACTCGAGGCAGTTGGTGCTGGACATAGCCCTCTCCTTTCACTCTCTCTATTAAACGTTTTGTTTACTGTCGTGTGTTTCGCTCCAATTCTTCCTGGTGAAGTCACAAGGACCTGCCCCACCCCCGCTCCCCCTCCCTGGCAGCCCCCCAGCTCCACCTCCCTGGGAACCCTTCAGAAGCACAGTGGGTGGCCACTRTCTCTGGATTCTCCTTCTGGGCCTCTCCATGCCAGCCTCAGAGCGGGTACCCACGGGAGGAGACGGCTCCCCACTAGACTGTGAGCTCTCAGCACACACAGTGCACAGGAGAAACGCATCTTTTTTTTTGTTATCCTCGGTTCCCAGAACAGGGCCCCCGGGCACGGTGGCAACACCCCCGTGAGCCCAGCGGCTCAGGAGGCTGAGGCAGGAGGATCGCAAATTCAAAGTCAGCCTCAGCCACTTGGCGAGACCCCGAGAAACTTAGCAAAGACCCTGTCCCTAAAGGAAATATTTCTCCAAAGGGGTTGGGGGTGTGGCTCACTAGCGAAGTGCCTCTGAATTCAGTCCCCAATACCCCTCCAGATTACTGTATGTATAAGAGGGGTCCGACTTCAGAAGTGGCTAACTTTGGCGGGGGGCCTACACTGTTCCCAGTCTACCTTTTGAATATAGCACTTACTGTTTATTTAAAATGGACAGATTTTTCTTCTTCTTTCTTCTTCCTCCTCCTCCTTCTTCTTCTTCTTTTCTCCTTCTCCTTCTCCTTCTCCTTCTTCTCCCTCTCGCCAACAAGATTAGAGACACGGTGCTCTCTTTTCCTACTCTAGTTAATTGTCCTTGGACACACCAGCCACAGGAAGGACTTTTCTGCCAGAGGATGTAAGAAGTAAATATCTTAAATACATTCAGGGTGCTCTGGGACACCCCCCCCCCCCTTACAGCCACGGGATCAGAACCAACCCCGGGGTCTCTCTCCAAAACATCCTCTGCAAGACTCCAGCTCAGCCCGTTTCCTTGAACTTGAAATTGGATGCACATCACGACAGGAGTGTGCGTGTGGGGTTGTGGGGGGTAGGGTGGGGGTGCTGGAGTTCCCAATTGCTAACACTTGAAGCCCCTGAGCCCCCCTGAAATGCCAGGGTGGGGGGCCTCAAGCTATTTACGCAGCCCCGGGAAGAATGCACTCGGGCAAAGAACGTCCTGATTAAAAATCCAAACATTTTCCGGATGAGACTTGTCTGTGTCAGGACCATCTGTTAGTGGAATTCAGAAACCTCCGGTGCTCATTTGTTCAAGAAAAAGTCGATTTCTGAACAGAACAGAGCCCTGAAAACACTCTTTGATGGGGGCCAAGGTGAAAAGCTTCGTGAGAACAGGACCTAAGGGTAGCCTCAGGATCCCTGTGACCGGTGACTCGGTAGCCCTGTGCACTTCTACTCCCCGTAAACCAAGTTCCAGGAGGCYGCAGACTTCTCTAGAATTTCATATTGAACTTCCATCTTGTTTTCTCTCAGTCACCCTCGGCTTTAGGTAATAGAGGTGAACGTGAATGTGATTCAGATGAGGAATGTTTAACAGGGATGGCAGTGAATTGTCCAAACACTGAAGAGGGGCGCTTTTCTGGTTTTCCTTCTCTTGTCTGTGCCCATTATTGTCAGACCTCTGGGCTGAGACTGGTGCAGTAGCCTCTGACCTGAACATTCTGTCAATCCCAATACTTGCAGAGTATCCTGAGTTTGAAAAATCAGCTCCAAGTCACTCGGTGCAACTCTAAGTCCCTGGGTACACTCTAAGTACACCAAGCAGAACGCACAATTTTCAGTCAAGGACAGAGCAGCAGCCTCACAAGTCCACTTCAGAGTAGAAAGTCCACTTGCACCTGAGCTCCGTGGGCCCTCTCTGCAAGACTTCTACACCTGGAGGCTCTAGCCCTGATCACCTACCTTCCTTTCTTTTCATGTGGTACTAGTAGTTGAACCCAGGACCTTCTGCATGCACTGAGCTAAACTCTGGACCCTTTTGTAACTTTTCTTTTGAGACAAGGTCTTGCTCAGTGGCTGAGTTGGCCTCCAACTTAAGGAGCCTCCTATCGGAGCCTCCTGAGTAGCTGAAATTACAGGTGTGCACCACTGTGCCCCAAACCTGGCCATTTTCCAACAGTGTGTATAGGATTCCTTTCTTATGGCTATGTGGGCATGACTCTGTCTTTACTTGTTTATCAAATATAAAAACCTAGAGTCCTACCTTCCTCTGTTRCCTGAGCCATGAAATGCGCTGTCTACTGAAGTTCAAGTTCAACTTCAGGGCCTCGTCCCTTCTTCCATCTTGTCAATCACTACATATCCACCTCTAGGTGTCGAAATGTACCGGAYGGTTCCAAAATCCAGTCCTGACTTCCTACCTATCTGTGTTTCTTTGGGCTTCCTCTGCTATCCCCTCTTGGCCTCTATTTCACAAATAAAAAAAGAGGGACCCAAATCTGCCTCTCTCATGGGTAGGAGCAAAAGACACTTGGACAACTAGGAAAATAAAAATCAAAGACCCCACTATTTGTTGGTGAAGACATATGGCTCTCCTGGCGTAGTCTGAGTTATTCATCACAGTGGGTAAGAATGGGTAGAGAGACCCCCAACTTAGAGAGATCGGGGCATATCACATTTGATCGCATCGATACTTAAGTCCCTTAGACTTGCAGTTTCATTGACTTTTTTAAAAATTTTGTTTAAAGCTTTCTTCTCTGTTATTTGTATTATTGTGCGACATGTCCATGGTTTGGCTAAGCCAGAATTCTTTGAGCACATTTCAGCAAGGAAGAGCTGGTGTAACTGGGGAAAGATTTGTAGGGATTCAACTCATCTCCTGCCAACCCAAATTTGGACAGTAAGGATAACTCACTCATTCTGTCTGGTTAAATGCTTACGGCAACGGCCCCTTCCCAGGCTGGGAGAATTCAGGGCTTACCCGAGAAACCAAGGGGGGTCCTCCCTACCTTCTGGTCTGTACCCGGGTTGTGCAGGCTCTGTCAGAGCAAGATGCATTGAGAGAATCCAGCCATCTGTCAGAACAGAATGTCCTTCTACAGAGTTGAGTCACGGGTGGATTACACACAGAGGAGAGGATAAGGGTGGGWGTCTCAAAACGTTAAATAAGCAAAGCAAAATTTCCCCAGTGTTCTTCATTCAGGGAAAAGAAAAACCAACAACCAACCTCAGCGGGTGACACATTCTATCTGAGAGTATTACTCGGGGCCATGCCTGAGACCTCCCCTTGAAAGACAGTTGTTCAGAACCATCTATCCCCCCAACTTCTGCAAACATCATTTCCAATTTTTCTTGACCAAACCAACTTCTCGATAGGTGCAGGCTCAGTGTGATCAAGGTGCTCGGGCTACGTGAGCACCAACTGGATCAGACACTTTCTGGAGAACTTGGTTATTGTGCAGAGGGGGACATGCAAACCAGAAACAAAGCTGACTGTCCCCCACGACGGCTCACGAGCCACACGTTGCAAAGGTCCCACCGTCTGGCTGCTCAGAGGGGCCTGGTTCTTGTTCTCTCCAAGGCTCGATCCTTGAGTGTTTCCTAGCCTCCTGGGATCTGTCCTGTCATGATCATTAGCTCCTTTCCTTCTGCTCAAGTTGGCAAAGTTGATTCTGTTGCTTGCAACCAGTCGACCCGACCTGCAGCAACCGCAGCAGCAGCCAACAGATCAGACAAGTTGGGGGGCAGGTACCTTCAGCCCCATCAGACCCACCTGATCCAGAGGCCGAAGCCAGAGGTGKAGGGAGCTCATCAAGGCCTAGATAGTGAGAATCCAGGCCTTCCGACACCACGCAGCAGCACGTCACCGGGGTCACGACGACACTCTCTTCTGTGGCCGGTCTGCTGTGGCCCACGGGCAGGCGAGCGATGCGAAGTGCTACTTCCAAGACCCCTTGGATCCATTCATCCACGAGTCCTTTACTGCAAGGCACGGTGCTAGGCACCAGTGGAGAGTACGCGGAGGAGAAGACCCACCTCCTTGCCCGCGGYGAGCTTACAGTCTAGTCGGGAAGACGAGGCGCACAGACCAGGAGATGTCGGGGACCATACAGGCGTCGACGTTGCCATCCAAGAGAACAGGACSAGAGTTTTCCCAAAGTAGGTTCCTGACGGAGGGGAGGGTTGCAGCAAATTCAAAGGAAGGGCATCACCGAGGTCAGGCGTGTGGGAGGCTTTCACRGAGGAGCTGGGCGGGGCCTACCCCAGGATGGTGGAGCTTTGGGTGGGAGAGAGGATGGG